GTCCATGAGGTTTCAAGATTCCTGAGGATCTCATTCTGTTACAGCATCTCTGAGTTGAAGAATCTGCTAAATTGGTAGGCAGTGGGGAGCCATTGGAGGGCTTTGAGCACTGAAGCCATACAATCAGAATTGCCCTTTATAAAGTTTAACCTGTGCAGAAAGAGCATTTCACAAAATCTGACACCGTTTCATGATTTAAAAGAGAGCACTCAACAAACTAGAAATAGAAGGGAACTTCCTCAGCCTGATAAAGCCCACCTATGAAAAGCCCACAGCAAACATCATAAATGGTGAAAGTCTGGTGGCTTTTCCCCTAAAATAAAGAACAAAATAAGGATGTCTGTGCTCACCACTCTATTCAGCTTTGTACTGGAGGTCTAGGGCAGGCAAGAAGAAATAAAAGGCATCCAGATTGAAAAGAAAGAACTAAAGCTATCTCTATTTTCAGATAACATGATTTTGTATGTATAACATTTTAAGGAATCAACTAAAATTATCAGGTAAATGAATTTAGCAAGGTTGTAGGACACATGATTAATATACAAAATATAATTTTATTTCTGTACTCTAGTATTGAAAAATTAAAAAGTGAAATGAAGAAACAATTTCATTTACAATAGCATAAAAAGAATTAAATATCTAGGAATAAGATGTAAAAAGGAAGTATAAAATTTATATTCTTAAAACTAGAAAACACTATTGGAAGAAGTCAAAAAAGACCTAAATAATAGGGAAGACATTCTATATTCATGGGTTGAAAGACATAATATGAAGATTGCAATTTTCCTGAAATTAACTCACATATTCCAATGGAATTTCTCAAAATCACAGCCAGGTTTCCCCACCCCGCCCCAGAAATTGACAAACTGATTCTAAAAATTTATATGAAAATGCAAATGACCCATAGTAACCAAAATAATATTGAAGAATAACAAAACTGGAAGACACATTTTCTGATTTAAACCTTACCACTTAGCTGCAGTAATCAAGACTGTAGTATTGGCATAAAGATGGACATATAGATCAACAGAGTACAACTGAAAGACCAGAAATAAAACCTTAATTTTATGATCAACTGATTTTCAACAAGGTACCAAGACAACTCAATGAGGAAAGAATAGTATTTTCAACAAATGGTGCTGGAACAACTGAATATCCACATGCAAAAGAATGAAACTAAACCCTTACTTCATATCATATGCAAAAATTAACTCAAAGTAGATGGACCATAGAACCAAATGTAAGATGAAAGCTATAAAATCTTAGAAGAAAACACAGATGTAATCTTCATAACTGGATAGTCAATGATTTCTTAGATAAGACACCAAAAGTACATGCAACAAAAGAAAGATCAGATAAATTGGAATGAATCAACATGAAAAAAAACCCTTATGAATTCAATAGATAACATCAGAAATTAAAAATGCAACACAGAATATAGGAGAAAATATTTGCAAAGCATATATCTGATAAAGGACTTATATCCAGAACTTATATCCCTCACATCTCAACAATAAAAAAGGAAAGAAACCCCATTAAAAATGTGAGAAGAATTTAAGTAGACATTTCTGCAAAGAATATGTACAAATGTTCAATAAAGTACATGATATTAATCATTAGGGAAAAACAAATAAAAACCATGAGATAGTGCTTTATACCTGCTGGGATGATTATAATAAAAAGGTAGGTAATAATGTATTGACAGATATGAGAAATTAGTCCATAGTGACAGAAATTAGATTAGGGATTCTGTGACTAGACGTGGGGGGAAACGGGAGTACCTTTGTAGGGATGTAAAGTCTTTGTAGGGATGATGAAAATGTTTGTAATTTAGAAAATGGTGAAAGTTGCCCAAGTCTGTGAATATGCTGAAAACCATGAATGGTACACTTTAAAAGTGTGATCTTTATGGAGTGTGAATTGTATCTCAACAAAGTTGTTACTAAGATAAAAAGCTTAGCCTGGTATCAGTCAGTGAGTGAATTGGGGTGAATGAAAGAAGTAGAATAGAAAGTTAATAATAGATTATTGATTTAAGTTCCGTGTCAATAATACCAACGAGGAGGGGGGAATGCAAGAATCATAACCAAAGGTAGACTTAAAGCACGTAGCAACTCAATAGTCAGAGGAATGAAAAAAGAAAAGAGTTAATATGCTTTGTTTCAGGGTCACTCGGAGGATGGTTATGCTCTGAAGTCAGAGAGGCTGGCAGGGATGGAGGGGAAGAGGCAAGATGATGTTGGGTCTGGAGATCCAAGTGGAATGTGGAAGTGTAAAAGCCACTAAATGCTCTTACTTAGAACAACAGGTAACATTCATGTAGAATTTGCTACATGCCAAAACACATGATTGTTTGGACTTAACCTTTACAAATGTATGGTAGGGACTACAAATATCTCCATTTTACAAATGAAGAAACTGAGGCACCGAGAACTGAAATAACAGCCCAACGTAGAATGCAAACGTATGCTCCTAACCTCCAACCCCCCGAACAGACAGTAGTCATTCTGTAAACAATACCAGTCTCCTCAATTACAAACCACAAACACATCATCAGTAAGTATTTTAGCCTTGATTTATGTAACTTGATTTTGGAATCTGTCTGAAAATGGAAACAGCCATCTTGATGGCAACTAAGCTGTTGTCATTGGTGTTTGGCACTTCAGACAGATGTGCATTTTAGAGGGATTCCTGTATCAGCCAATAGGCCTGAGGTCTTCTCATATCCCTTCGGAGAAACTGCCTTCGTTGGTGAAAGGAATTCTGCTCTGTCGGATTCCCTGTGACTTCTCTAATGTATGCAGAGGACTGTGTTTCCGAGAGCTGGAGAGTCTACATCTAGGCATGTTGCAGCCATCTTTTTGGCATATTCCTAAGATTTACCGTATTTCTCGGACCATAAGACGCACTTTTTCCCCCCCCAGAAGTGTGTGTGTGGGGGGGAAATCCCTGCATCTTGTGGTCCAAATATAGCCTACACATATACTTTAAAAAAAAAGTTTTTTTACTTGCCCGGCTCTGTGTGGTCTCTGTGTGCTTGCCCGGCTCTAAAGTGGTTCTAAATGCTGCTGTTTACTTTACAGGGTTGATTACATGTGTTTATGACTGTGATGTTGGGTTTTAATGCACATAAAATATTTTAGGACACTATTTGTTTCAGAATCTTTTTTTCTTCATTTCCCTTCTCTAAAAACTGGTGCGTCTTATGGTCCGGAGAATCTTATGGTCCGAAAAATATGGTAATTTGCTAAAGTAACTGTTTTTCTAATAATAGTGGCTCCCTGTATTCTCCTGATATTTACAACAACTTAACTCCTGTCACTCACTCTGAGATAATATATGCCCTTTATCTCCTGCATCCAAAGGAGGTCACACCGTCTGGTGTGTTTTCCTGTGAATGAGGGGTTTGGGGAAAGGCAGTCATGCACAGCCTGCTGGCCTTTGAGGGCTGCATAAGAGAGTGCCTTGGGCTTCGACCATTCCCTTACGTGGAGATAACAAGCCCTTCAGAGCTTGTGCTGGGCATATCACCTTGTCTGGAAATCTCTTCCCTGTTCTGGGTTTGCTGTGTACTTCTTCATTCTGCTTAGTGTCTGTGCACATGTCACCCCACTGCTATTTCTATTCCTAGTAAGGAGAAAAGGGGGTTCTTCACCTGTAGCACAAGAGGGACAGTCCTGTGTCAACTGTGGGGCAAGGTACACTGGCTCTGTGGGATCCAAGCTCACTATGGAGGCTGATCTTACTCTGCTTCTTCTTGTGTGAGTCAAGTGTAGTTCCATCCAGGTTCTGTGGGAGTTGTGTCTTTCTTGGCAACTCTGACACATGCAAACCAGGCAGTGGGTTGACATCCGGGGATTGCTGCTCCTGGTGGTGGAATCCTCAATGCAGTGTGATCCTTCTGTGGGGGGAAGCGACAGGTGTCACTTGCTTAACGAGAGCCAAAACTCTTAACCAGCCGAAGATGCAAATGACCAAACACTAAGACTTTTAGGCTGATGGTCAAGCCTCCAAGAGATAAAAATCAAATAATACTGCTTTTAAAATATTGGTAAGCAAAAAGAAAAGCCACTTGAAATCCTTCACTAAAATACAATCACTGATAAAGATTCTGGGGCTTATCTTTCCAGGGTTTTTTTCTTCTTTCTTTGTAAAAAACATAATTTTTTTTAAAAAAAGTTGTAGATTTGTAAAAAAGTTGCAAGGAAATTATAGAGATTTTCAAATGCCCTGTATCAAGTTTTTCTGCTATTGATATCTTGCATTAGTATGGCATATTTATTATAATTAACAAACCAATATTAACACATAATTATTATCTAAAGAATATACTTTATTCAGATTTTATTAGCTTTTACCTAATATCCTTTCTCTGTTTCAGGGTTTCAGCCAGGATGCACATTGTATTTAGCTAGCATGTCTCCTTAGGCTCCTCTTGTGACAGTTTCTCAGTAATGATCAGGCCTTTTGTAGAATATTTCTTAATTAGGACTTGTACAATGTTTTTCTGAGAATATGGGTTTTCAGAAAAAAAGACCATGGAAGTAAAATGCCATTTTGACCCTATCATATGCACCTTGCTTATCAATGTTGGTGTTAACCTTGATCACCTGGGTAGGTCATGTTTGTGCCACTGTCAAGTGACTCTTTTTTCTCCCCTTCCCTGTACTCTTTGGAAGAAAATCTCTATGTACAACTCAAACTTATAGAGTGGGGTATATAAATTATTTGGGAACATCTGTATGGGAGATTTGTATATGTGTATGTATGTATGTATGCATATACTGTTTGTATGTATTTATTTCATTATGATCTCTGGATATGTGTTTTATGCTTTGCATTATTAGCCAATACTACTTTCTTTTATTTTACTTTTACAGTGAAAAGTTATAATTTTGCTATTGCATGCCATGAATTGTGTTTTTTTGTTTTGTTTTGTTTTTTACTAGTATTTGCTCTGAGCTAATCAAAGGGTGTGAGGACGCCCACCAGGGCACTGCACAAACTATGAACCACTTCAGGATTTGTGTGTCGTCCTTGCACAGGGGCTATGCTAATCTTCTTTGTATCATTCTAATTTTAGTTTATGTGCTGAAAAGTGAGCACGCTTTATTTTCTTGCTAAATATTTCTGGCTTGTTTGTTTGTGTACTTTTTTTACATTCAGGTGCTGCCAAATGATCTAGGATCATCTTCATGGCTTTGATCCTCATCAGCCATTTCTCCAAAGGGCGCTGGTCCTTTTATTAGGGAACTAGTGATCTGGTGCATGGATTCGTGCACATTGAAAGGGAATTAATGAGAAGGTGGCTGGCAGGGTGGGACTGGGCAAGACGAGCCCTGGATCCATCCTCCCATGGTTCACCACTGGCCACACCTGGGGTGGTGCCGTGGTTCAAAAGGCATCTGTGGAGTGAGCAAAGTCCCTCCAGCTGGTGGGGTCCCTCAGCCTGACCTACAGGGATCAGACCAAAACTGGCTCTCCCACATCCCCTGAGGAGTCCCATAAGGCCAGGGGGCACTCTGCAGAGTTGCTGTTGTGCAGGTTGTGGAACGCAAACGCAAGAGTGCAGTAAACCAGATTCAGGGCTGACAGTGCCCCAGCAAAAACATAACCCACTGCCAAAGGTAGAATCATGTGACCCAGCAAAGAATAGGGCCCCCTCTTCTCTGGTTTTGAGGTGCGTCACCGGAGAACCGCTGCTTCCAAGTCACTGCAGCTCAGCAGCTCCTGTGTTGAGTGTCTGCTCCCTGGTGGTCAGTATGTGTTATAGCCATTTAGCATATTAGCTTTTTATATATAGAGATGGTATTAGAAACTAGATCTGGGTGTTACAATAGATGTGCTCGTTGATACTAGGGTGCTGTTGTTTTATGTCCTTTCAGCTAATAGAGCAAGGACATAATGGCTCAGTTTTAGTGTCCACATATAACAGAATCAGAATTGTTTAAAGGCAATCCTAGATGAAACAACTTCATTTACCAGATTACAGTATTCATATGTAGTTTCTTTTGCCTTTAGTCTTTTTGTTTTCACTCATTTCTAAAATTACTTAGTCAACAGCTGTCCCCCACTACTTTCAGTGAAATTGTTTAATACCTTAATGATACAATCAGATTCTGCATTCCATGTTGGGATCCCCAACACCTCCAACGTGAGTTTGAGAAAATACTTGCATGTGTTGAGGCTTACGTTTGTGCTGTTACGTCTCATGAATTTTGATAAGTGTGTTATGCATCCACCACTGCAGTTTCCTATAGAATAGCTTTACTGTCCCAAAACTACCCTCTGTATTGTCTATCTACACTCCTGTCCTCCCTCAAAACTCTGCTAACAACCGGTCTTTTTAGGATTCTTTTTCCCCCAGAATATCATAATTGGAACCATGTGGTATTTTAGCTTGTTCAGTGGTATGACTAGCTTTTATCACTTGGCAAGATGCAGTTAAGATGTATTCACAGATATGTGGGTTTTGTTTTGTTTTTTAATGGCTTGATGGCTTGTTCCTTTTTATCTGAATAATATCCCACATTTTGCCCCTGAATAATTACACCAAAATCTGTTTATCTATTCATATTTTAAAGGATAAGTTGGTTGCTTTGTTTGTTTGTTAATCCTCACTTGAGGATATTTTTTTCCATTGATTTTCAGAGAGAATGGAAGGAAGGGAGGGAGGGAGACAGAGAGGGGGAGAGAGGGAAAAGAAGGAGAGAGAGAGGGACAGACAGCCATCGAGAGACACATTGACTGTTTGCCTCCTGCATGCGCCCCGACTGGGAACATGGAGCAAGCCTGTAACCGAGGTGAAGTACATGCCCTTGACCAGAATCGAACCTGCCACCCTTTGGTGCCTTGGTTGGTGCTCTAATGACTAAGCATTGCCAGCCAGGGCAGTTGGTTGCTTTTAATTTTACTTTAAAGCAGCTATAAACATTCACATGCAGGTTTTTGTGTTGATGTGAATTTTCAATTATTTTTTTACTATGTACCTAGGAGTGCAAAACACTGCCAAACTCTTCCAAACAGTCATACTATTTTGCATTTCCACCACCAATGAATGAGAGTTCTTGCTGTTCCACATTCTCTACAGCAATTGGGATGGTTAGATTTTGGATTTTAGCCATTATAACAGCTGAATAGTAATATCTCATTGTTGTTTTAATTTCCAATTTCTTTAAGACAACTAATGTTGAGCATCTTTACACATGTTTATTTGCCATTTACATATCTTGTTTGGTGAGGTGTCTGTTTTTTGCCTTTTTTTGTTTGGGTGTTTGCTTTTTATTGTTGAATTTAAAAAGAGATTTGCAAGTCTTTAATTGGATATGTGTTTTGCAAATATTTTCTTCCTCTCTGTGCTTTCTCTTTTGATTTTCTTAACAGTGCCTTTGGACAGAGAACTTTAAATTTTTAATTAAGTCAAACTTTTAGGAATCATGATTTTTGGTTTTATATCCAAAAAGTCATCTAAGGCCATATAGATTTTCTCTTCTTTTTTTTTTATGTCTATGTGTTCTATCAACATGAAATTATACTGTATATAATTACATCAAGCTTTGTTTATGTATTCATCTTTTAAATTATAATAACATCTATGAACTTTTTCATGTTGTTAAATATTCTTGTAGGGCAGTGGTTTGCCACTCTGTTTACTAATGACTTTGCCGACCACTGTTGTAGGGCATCCTTGTGTTAACGGTTCAGTATTCTTTTATATATAATAGATATAGAATTTGTGCACCAGTGCGGTCCCTCAGCCTGGCCTGCAGGATTGGGCTGAAATCAGCTCTCTGACATCCCCTGAGGGGTGCTGGATTGTGAGAGGCTGCAGGCCAGGCTGAGGGATCCCATCGATGAATGATTGGGGCTGGGGAGGGATGCGGGAGGTTGCCAGCCACAGAGGGACTGCGGGAGGGCTCTGTCTCACTCAATCCCAATTGGCAGGACCCCTGGAGCAAGCTAACCTACTGGTATGAGTATTTGCCTCTTGGTGGTTAGTGCATGTCATAGCAATTGGTTACCGTATTTTCCGGAGTATAAGACAACCTCCTAATTTTACAGTTAAAACATAGGTTTAGGCCTGTATTCGCTGTATAAGACTACCCCCCACTTCAAAGAAAAGACTTACTTTGCTGTCAAGATCTGCAGGTAATTTTTGTGCAATTTTGGTCTTTTGCCCCCGATTTTCAGTTGACTTTTTTTTTGTTTCAAAAGTCATCTTATACGCCGGAAAATACGGTAACCATGCAACTGACTGCCCCCTAGTGGTCAGTGTATGTCATAGTGAGCGGTTGAGTGGCCTTAGCATATCATTAGTATATTACACTTGGATTGGTTGAATGGAGGACTGGACACTTAGTATGTTAGGCTTTTATCATATAGGATACCTATAAGCATTAAATGAACCCTCTAATGTTGAATAATATATATTTAGATTTACTGAACCATTATAATGTACATATTTCTGAGAAGTTGTTTTAGGTTTAAACTTGTTGGACTAAATAAGGGGTGCTGAAGAAAAGTCTTTATCCTTTCTTATCTCCTTTTACCTTCCTTCCACAAATATTTAATGCATCTATGCTATATGTGAGGTCTTCAGAGGTTCCCTCCATTAGCCTCTGGACATACTTCAGTGAACTGGGAATCACTGCTCTTAACGAGGTTACGTTCTAGTAGAAGAGACATAAAAAAGCAAATAATATTATTTCTGATAGTAATCATTATAATTAAGGCTGAAAAGGAGATAAAAGGATAGTGATAGACCATGTGTCCTGAGACTCAAAATAGGGAAAAGAATAATACATTACAAACTGAGATTGGCCCTATCCAGTTTTACTCAGTAATTAGAGCACTGGCCTGTGGCCTGAAAGGTCCCAAGTTTGATCCCAGTCAAGAGCATGTACCTTGGTTGCCTGCTGGATTCCCAGCTCTAGTCGGGCTGGGGCTCATGTGGGAGGCAACCAATCGATGTGTCCCTCTCACATTGATGTTTCTCTCTCTGTCTCTCCCCTTCCCTTCCATTCTCTCTAAAAAAAAATCAACAAAAATAAAACAACAACAACAACAAAAAACAATGAAAAAAATATCCTCTGGTGATGATAATTAACAAAACAAAAAAGCCTGATAGATTGGGAAAAGATGGTGTTAGGGAAATAACTGAACTGCCAAAGTGGGAGTAAAGGAATTGAGGACCAGAAGGTTGAGAGAGAAGGGAGGATGAGTTCAAAAGAGATGCAGTTTTAAGTGATGATGATGTCCACAGTGTGATCATAGGAAGGAATGGTGGTATGACAAAGGCCACCCTCTATGGAACTCTGAGGAGCGAGCCTTAGGCTAGGGCTGTGAATTGTCATCCATGTGAAGTCACACAGGAGGACAGGATGGTGGGTATACTTGGAGTGTTGAGGAAGAATTTGAGCCAGCTCACTTAACCGCTTGGAATGTGATGGAGTGACTGGAGATCAAAATTGACAAAGATAAGGAAGAGTTACTAGTGAAAAGGTAACAGCCAAAATTCAGGGTCCTAGACTGAGCAGGGCTTACTACACAATAGGAAAAAAGTAATAGTCTGGAAGTGGCATGGCTGACTAAAGAAAATGCTGACCCTACTTCCTAACCCCTAGCCAGAGATGAAGAAAATGAACCAGAACAATCTCCTGAAGCCTGATAATCTTAGGGCAGACATTTTTAGCCAGCACAAAAAGAGGAAGGGAGCACCCTGTGGATAAAGGATGGAGGAGAGCTGGTTTCAGTGGAAATGTTTGGGAAGGAGGAAAGCATTGAAACTGGTGGGGAGGGGCAGAGAGGGGAAGGGAAGCCCAGAGAAATACTGGGACATGAGTGCAGAACACAGAAGATAAGCGTTGCTTTTGTTTTGGGCCAGGGCCAAGGAAAACAACAGGCCTTAGGTTTTTAACAGAAGTCTGGGGTGAAGTGCCTCAGTGTCAGTGCAGTTTTAGGCTCAAGATGAAGCTCAAGGCTGTTATCTGGATGTGGCAGAGCCCATGGCAGGGCGTGGAGGTCACTGCTGGGAGCAGTTGGAAAGCGAGCTTTACCAGGGTAGTGAGCGGTATAAACACAACTGTAGGCAGTTACTAATATTTGGA